TATCTAGAGCAAGTGATAGATGGAGATGGAGTGCAGCCCAGAGACAGGGAAACTGAAGACTGGCCTATGCAGGACTCGACACCGTTAGTTGCCACCACAAGTTGGTTAGAAACTTCAGCACCCTTACAAAAGCTATTGAAGAAAGAAGCAATCTGGCCATGGAGTCGTGACTGCACGTCTGTTTTCGAGAAGCTGAAGAAGGCATTGATCGTGTATCCAGTCTTGAAAGTAGCAGATCCGTCATTGTCTTTCGAGTTAATACCGATGCTAGCCAGTACGGATTGGGGCAATACTACAACAAGGGGATGGAAAAGGTTACTGTCCTGTGGAGTCCATGTCTAGGGAACTTCCCAGGAGAAAGTATCAGATTCTACCTATGAGAGGGAGCTGCATACTCTCTACGAAAGCAGTATCTGTTAGGTAGGCATTATAGTTTATTCGGATCATGAGACCCCACGTTCGATGAAAACCCAGGCTCATATGTCTACGAAGTTGCAGCGGTGGGTCAGAATCATAGACGAGTTCGATTTCGAGTTAAAACCAGTCAAAATTAAGTATAATGTCATTGTTTATGCACTATCACACAGAGCAGACTTCTTTGGAGCTATTACTACCTACTTAGACACTGGGACAAAACTGCAACAAAGCATTACAGATGCATACAAAGGGATAACATATATAGTGAGATAATACACAGTGTCAGAGAAGACTCAAGAACAGCTAATCGGTTACTGTTCCGAACTTCCAATGTAATGGACACAATGTGCTTCCCGGACGGCGAACCCATCCGGAGTGTAGTCCCAGGAGAGTCCCATAATGCAAAAGGTCATTTTGGTTGGAAGAAGAGCTATGTGAAGCTACTGCGTTCGTTTGCATGGCACTGTGTGAAAAGAGACTGTATCTGGGATATCCATGACTGTCAAGTATGTCAACAGGACAAGAGTAGGACTCGGGCCCCATCAGGACAGCTCAAACCACTAGTGATTCTATCAGGGCCAATAGATTCGGTTTCCATTGACTTCATGCATATGAAGGTAGGCAGTAGTAACAAGAACAGTGAAATCGTGGTTATAATTGAACAGATGAACAAGCTCTTGCATCAAACACTCCGAAACGAACAAGCTCTTGCAGCAAACACTTGGAAAATTCCGAATGTATATTAGACCTGATCAATTAGACTGGGACAAGCATTTACATCCAGCGGCTAGCTCAAACAGCAAGTCAGTGCATGTCGCATGCTAATATGGTGCAGACCAGAACCAAGAACCGACCTCTCACAGATAGAACAAGATACTACAGCGGAAGACTGAAATACCAATAATCAGACCCAATCAATGTCAAAGTGCACACTGAACATACATCATCATCATCACATGGTGTGAGTGGCCGGGCGCCACACACAAGGACGAAGGCGCCAGGCACAGATCATACACTTATGAGGAGCGGGAAAAGATGAAGAAGAGAGGGAGGAGATGAGAGGGTCGTCAACCCAAATGTCGCCGACACCGATCCCAAACAGTCCCCCCACAATTTCTCTGTCCAAATGCCAAGTCTGAATCCAAAACTGTCGCCAAATCCCAATGTCACAAGTCTCTCTCTCTCTCTCTCTCTCTCTCTCTCTCTCTCTCTCTCTCTCTCTCTCTC